GTGTATTCCCGAGTGTAGCTCGGGGTTACCACTTGTGATGCTGAAACTTTACCCCGAGCTACACTCGGGAATACCGCCAGGGGGGTTAATGCTATAAAGCACACAATGCTGAACCGCAACCATGTGCTATGCAAGTGGTTGTAGGGTGGTGGAGGTGGGGCCCCATTCACTGGAATAGGATGCGTTTTGCAGTGATACTGTCTGCTGAATGAGGCATGGGGTATAATTTTGGTCATATATGTAGATACCCATTCGACTGCCCTTAAAGCTTAAAGTGGACTTTCACCTCAAAAGTGAAACATGAAAGTGCTGCTTATTCAACGACCTATCCCTGTGCCCCAAGAGTTGACTTTTTACGGTGAGCAGGTACCTTTTTTGACAGGTACCTGCAGCCACTTCCTTTATTCTTGCCTAGAATGATGTGCACCTCTTAGCACTCCCCCCAGCCCGCAGCCTCCTGGCACATGTACACGTCCCAGGAGACTGCAGGGCCAGTCCCACAGCTCTGTGCGATCTCATGTATGTGCAGCGGGGAGCCAGCGGTGATTCCTCAGGAGGTCATAGTCGGCTACCACGTCCCAAATGGTGGCACCAAGACATGCAGCAGGAAGAACAGGCTACAGGAAGACAGAACTACACCCTCAAGAACCTGATTTTTGAAAGTCAGCAGCTACAGTATTCATACTGCTGGCTTTTAATTTAAACAAAAAAGGACCGCTGTTCCTCTTTAAGGGGAAGCGCTGGGTGGTAAAACCACAAGTTAAGCACCTATTTTTACCCCCTCCCAACTACAAGTGTAAACTAGGCCTAAAAGCAAATAAGTAAAGAAAGAAAAAACCTCAGCGCCCAGGATTCTCTTATTCCACACACTATTCCCGTGAGATGCTGCTGTACACAGGTGCAAAACCAAAAAAACTTATTTCAACTTATACCAGCGCAATATCTGCTAAAATGTGAGTGGTCTGGATAAAATTCTTTTAAGATTGGAAATCATTACGGTATCACACTATGGTTTTTTCTTCTTCCTGATTTTCTCTGGGAGATTCGGTGAGAGGAGTAACCAGAGGAGGTGTCCATATCCTAGAGGAGGCAATATTTGGAGGTCATATACAAATTAAAGGGGGTCCAGGAGCCCTTAATATCCCTGAAAGGCGTTTTACTCACCAATATCTGGTGAGTGCGGTTAATGTTGGTTTTGCACTAGTGGCTGGTGGAGGTATCACTGGCACGAAGAATCCAATGAAAATATAAAAAAATTTTCACGGGACTGTTTTTTTTTAATTTGGTCACTGGACTTATTATTAATTAAAAATATTAATCAAAATATTAATGAAAATAGAAAATATATATGTAAATAATTCATATTGTGTTGCGCTCCCAGTAAGAAAATCTGTGATATTAATAACTCTATTTACCCTTGGTGAACAAATATATAATCAGGGGATTTTACAAAAAAATATACAGAATAAAAAAATATATATATTATTAAAAATTTTTATATATATAATCCACTGATGAAAATATAAATGTGGAAATAATATCCCCAGAAACAATAAGTGATAAAATATTGTGTACTAAAACATAAATATAAATAAATCAATATGCATCATGATTGGTGAATAATCAAAAAATACAAATAACTTAAAAATATATATATGTACTGCAAATTAATTTGTGATATTAATGTCCTTTAAATACAGTGACTTTGTGCTTGATTAAATCTTGATTTGGTGACTTATTGTGAATCCGTGACTCTCTTTGAATCCTTAATTAGTGAAGATGTATGCTCACCTCCTTATTAGCCTGTAATTAGGCTATACACACTTGTGGTTCACCTCCTATGGAACTTGCTTAGATGGAATTCCTCCTTTACAGATTGTAAAAACGTGGATATCCGTTATCCTCAATTAGCCCATATGCGTTTTTCCATATGTGGGGACAAATTGCCAAACATAGTGTTTTATCCTTATAAAAAGGTTTTGCTTTATTGCTCTCCAACAGGTACACTCACATAAATAATATGCGGTATAGGATGAATTGCTCAGCTCAAGTAATCCGCCAGCCGTCTAGCCATGCACTCGCCGTCTGTAAAACACTCCGGCTCTCTCCGAGTGACACCGCAGCCCCACCCCTACGCGTTACGCCACTGGTCACGTGGCTTCATCAGGGGGTTGTGATAGGTTAGTCACTCTTCCATTGCCGGTTTAAATAGCCCAGCCGCGCCATTTTGTTGTCTATCCCATGGAGGCGGCCATATTATTGGGGGCACTTTGCACAGCGATATTAGTGCCAATTGTTTCATTTGTATCCTTACTGCTATGTCCACCCGGGGAGATACATAGTGACATGACTCTACGGCTGAGCGGTATGCAAATCAATCATTTGTATACATCAATGTATCAATCCAATACCTCAAAAATAACAAGTTCAATAATACATATAGATGTATGTGTGGAACCACACACACCCATATATAAACAATTATTTATTTTATATAAAATGTATATGCCAATAAAAATATATACACAGAATATACTGTATATATATGGATAGAAAAAATATATAATAAAATAAAATAAGGAAATATACAGAATATTTTGATCAAATACTCTAAGTGTGTATCTCCTATACAACATAACTACAGTCTGCCATTCTTATGAACTATAGAAATGTGAATTATATATATATAATACATAAAATTAAAATTATAAAATAAAATAAATAAATAAATGAAATATACATTATAAACCACCTAAATATAATTCTACTACCCCACATGAATAAGTGGGCACGGATTTTGCCTTTAACCATAGACCATCAATTATATACTCTTCTAACCTAATGGTTACCTGTATATAGGTAATGACCGACATGTATATATATCTGTGTGGCAAAATGAGAGAAAAAACCAAATATATAGTATCTCTCCATATTCATCAAACAGGTACATATACTAAACCAGGTGATGGAACAGGAGCCATGTGTAATTTATAATAATATATCATGCTAAATTCTACACATCACTAATGAAGCATGATAAATAGAAAATATATACTGTATGTGTCACAGTGTATTTTAAGTTTGTGATATTTATTCATTATTATTTATGGGTTGGGTGATGTATTTTACTAAAAGCAAATAAGTCTACGAATCACATAAAACTACTAAATAAAACCTGTGGATAGTGAAAAAGCACACCTGAATATCTAAAATATATTTTTTTAAAATGTCCAGTGTAACTGCAGCAGAGATAAATCAAGGCTGTGTAAACCTCAGGACTGGATGGACAGAAAGAAAAATAATCTGGCAGATACAACAGCTTCCACACGTGTATTTTGTCTGCCTATTTAACTATAAAAAGGGCCATTTGTAAAGAAAATCAGGCACTGTAGAAAAAAAAAAAATGTTCATTTTAATAGCAGCCCACCCAGTAGTTTATACTGTGCTTTCCTTCCTTTGCTCCCCCCATACTCCATCCAGTTACAAGGGATGGAGAAACTTGGCTTGTGTGGAGACTCTGAATTCACTGAAGGATGAGGACTCTTCCCATCCCTATACCAAAAGAACTGGATGCCTGTTGATCCAATCCCCATGCCACAGCACTGCCATAGAGTAGGCAGGGGAGTAAGTCGCCTTCCCTAGATGTCTGGGGTATTTTAATTCACGATACTTTTCCAACAGCCATGCTTTCAATTACAAACAAATACAATCTGATTCATCACTCAACATTTCTGAAGCTCTGTAAACAGTTGTGTCGCAGCCTCCTCATCATCAGTTCTTTAGGTGATTGCTTATAGCAACAAAAACGTTCCGGTGCTGTTCTTCTTCCTAGTGCTCTGATCGGCCTCAAGCACCACACCGGCAGGAACCTGATCTACACTCGATAATACTTTCCTGCCCGATATTTTGGAGTAAACACTGAAAACCCCAGTGATTTGAAGCTGTAATCCTGTCCATCTGCGCTGGTGTGGAGCTAGAGAGTGATCAAATAGCTAGGAGGAGAAACAACACCATGGGACAGTTACTGTTGCTACTGGCAATTACATGGAGAACGGATCATTTGGTGAATGAAATATCCTGGTGTCCCACCTGTGGCCCCAGAACCACATGAGGTCTTTTAACACTTACTGTGCAGCCCTTTGCAGACTCCAGCAGTCAGCAGTGGAAGCATTCAATTTTAAACAGGTTTTAAAAGGCAGTGATCTAGCAGTCCCACGTAGCAAGTTCCAAGTCTCTCTATCTAATGTATCGTGTCCTCCGAACCAACCACATTTTCAGGTCTGCAGGATCAAATCGTCTCCTCAAGTATGTCTGAAGCTTTCTGTCATATAGGGCAGTATCCACCCAGAGACATACTATTGTTGTGCACAGGGAGTCTGCGTTCTCGTATTAGTTAAGTGTCACTTGGTGCACCATCTAGCTGCAGCAGCATTCAGCCCCTTAAGAGTTTTCCATGTTGCCAGCAGGAAAGCTGGACGTGGTGCCTGTGCCTTCCACCCGAAGGGTCACATGCACCAGTGCTGCATTCCCAGTGTGCATGAGGCCTAATGTGTCTTCCATCCTCCCTTGTTTCAGGTCTGCTGTCTCTAATGGTCTCCTCTAATATGTAAGAAGTCAGTGATAGTCTTCTGTCATATACTGAATATTATGTGTGGCCTATTGGAACTGTCAGAGGCCCAACACATCTTGCAGGACGACAACCACAACGACAAATCGGACTGGATGTCACTCCACCTTTCCAAAACTGAGCTCCTAGTATTCCCCCCAGCCCGTGAACCCCCCCCCCCCCAACTTCTCCATCAAGATCAACAACACTACCATCAGTCCCTCCCCTCAAGCCAGAGTACTAGGTGTAATCCTAGACTCCAATCTGTCCTTTCAGCCCCAGGTCCAATCGCTGACAAACTCATGTAGACTTTCACCTCCGCAACATCTCCAAGATACGACCGTTCCTAACCCCGGAAACCACTAAGCAACTCGTTCACTCCCTTATTATATCTCGCCTCGACTATTGTCACTCCCTCCTCATTGGCCGACCTATCACAGGCTATCCCCTCTTCAGTCTATCATGAATGCTGCTACCAGACTCATTCACCTTACTAACCGCTCCGTATCTGCCACCCCTCTCTGCCAATCCCTCCACTGGTCTCCACACAGTGTCCTCCATTCCTCTCTGCCAATCCCTCCACTGGCCCCCCACTCAGTGTCCTCCATCCCTCTCTGCCAATCCCTCCACTGGCCTCCATTCAGTGTCCTCCACCCCTCTCTGCCAATCCCTCCACTGGCCTCCATTCAGTGTCCTCCATCCCTCTCTGCCAATCCCTCCACTGACCTCCACTCAATGTCCTCCATCCCTCTCTGCCAATCCCTCCACTGGCCTCCACTCAGTGTCATCCATCCCTCTCTGCCAATCCCTCCATTGGCTCCCAATTGCCCAACAGATAAAATTTTAAACACTAACACTGACATATAAAGCCATTCATAACACTGCCCCTAACTACATCACCGATCTTATCTCTAAATATCACCCAAACCGTACTCTCCGCTCCTCACAAGACCTCCTACTCTCTAGCTCCCTTGTCTCCTCCTCCCATGCCCGTCTCCAGGATTTCTCAAGGGCTTCACCCATCCTCTGGAACTCCCTACCCCAATCTATCAGGCTATCACCTACTCTGCTCACTTTTAGGCACACTCTGAAAACCCATCTCTTCAGGGAAGCCTACCCCGACCCCAGCTAATACTGGAATCCTCTACTCTTCCTACCACTCCATCCCCCACAGCTAATTACCTCTTGTACCACTATCCCCTCCCCTTTTAGATTGTAAGCTCCAAGGATCAGGGCCCTCTAATCCCTCTTGTATTGAACTGTATTGTTACTGTACTGTCTCCCTCCATAATGTAAAGCGCTGAGCAAACTGTCGGTGCTATATAAGTCCTGTATTATAATAACCAATAACCACTGCTAAATCTATACAGGTGGTTCCTCTGACGTAGTAGTGCAAGACTATTTTACTATTCTTCCCTCAATGCAATTCTACCTGACCAGACTGGAAGAGACTACAGGCAGCCATAGACTTTAGAGGGCAACTGGATAGGAAGGCATAACCTGTGGGTTAAAGAGACCCAACTCATTTATAGGCCTGTGCCAACCGAGGTTAGAGGAAGGAGAAAGCAGTAGTGTGAGGCAGTGTTAAATTGTTCCATACTCAATGCAAGTCTACCTGCCCAGACTAGAAGAGACTAGAGATGGCCTGCAGCATGTTTGTGGTCTCTCTCCTTCTCCTGTAGTATGTCTTCAGTCTCCAACCACCTTTGCTGCAGTCTCTGATCATCTCCTCTGGTAATTCTGAAGTCACTGACCATGCTCTGTCATATACTAAATATCACGTGTAGCCCTTTGAGGCTGTCAGGGGTCACAAATGAATATTATTAAGCAGGATTTATATAGCGGCAATCGTTCGCACGACGCTTTACAATATAAATGGGGATAGTACAATTACAACATAGTTCAATACAGAAGAACTAGGAGGGCCCTGCTAATGGAGCTTACAATCTAAATGATGCCCCCCTACACCTTGTAAGTTGAAAACCACCGCTGTACCAAAAGCGTTTATAGACCTTCAGAAAGCCAGGTCTGATGCTTTTTCTGAATCCAATAGGTATTCATTTGTAATGGTTATCTGGTAACCCAGGGCGGGTGGATAAGCTGTTGCTTGAAATCAATATATATGAGCATAGTGTTGATAGCTGTGAAGCAGGGGCGGACTGACCATTTGGAAACTCGGGCACTGCCCGAGGGCCCGGGGTCAGTAGGGTGCCCCATGAGATGCCCCTGGTACCTTTTTCATAGGCTTTTTTGAGTTTGGGCAAGGACACAGGGGCCCCATGATCCCCTATTGCCCGGGGGCCCCATGAGTTGTCAGTCCGCCCCTGCTGTGAAGTGACTATTTTAATTTGCTTACTGAAGTCTAAAGTCCTGTACACACTGGTTGAAATTAGCTGATACAGTAGATACTGGCCCACAATCGGCCCGTGTGTACCTGTCCTTGTTTGACAGAAACCAATCTCATGACTGGCTTCTATTGATCGAGCTTGCTAGAAAACCAGCAGCCAATCAGCATCTGATCAGCGCTCTGAGCCAATGGCTGCTAGCGCTGACCAGTGTGTTCTGCGGGGGGCAGTCCCCCTGTTAGAACACCATAGCTAAGCAGGGGGATCGATGTACTAATATTGCATGGTTAGTACAGAGACCTCTTCCAGTGCTACTCAGTTACTACATACCGTGTGTACCGGGCTTCACAGGGTGGTGGGGCAGCGAAGAGAAAGTAGGTGCTGCTGCTTTTACCTGAATGAAAAAAGCGCACATTTGCCATGAAGATGGGGCAAACAGGGGCAGCACAGTAGCTAAATGGTTAGCACTTCCACCTGGCGGTATTAGGGTTGTTGGTTCAAACCCAACCACGGCACCTCCTGCCTGGAGTTTGCTTTTTCTCCCTGTGCCTGCGTGGGTTTCCTCTCACACCCCAAAGACATGCTGGTAGGTTAATTGGATCCGGTCTAAACTGGCCCTAGTATATGAATGTGAGATAGGGACCTTAGATTGTACACCCCTTGGGGGTTAGGGACTGATGTGAATGTACAATATATATATGTAAAAGCGCTACGTAAATTGATGGCACTATAGAAGTCCCTGAAAAAAAAAAAAAAATAAACAGTTGAAACACACAGTCTTTGTAATTTTGCTCTAGAGATCCAGGTGCCCCTGTCAAGCATTACAACCAGGCAGGGGCGGACTGACAACTCATGGGGCCCCCAGGGGCGGACTGACAACTCATGGGGCCCCTGGGCAATTGGGGATCATGGGGCCCCTGTGTCCTTGCCCACACTCAAAGCACACCCAAAAAACGCCTATAAAAAGGGACCAGAGGCATTTCATGGGGCACCCTACTGACCCCGGGCCCTCGGGCAGTGCACGAGTGCTCGAATGATCAGTCCACCCCTGGGGTCCCCTGTGTCTTTGCCCAAACTCCAAAAAGCCCATGAAAAATGTACCAGGAGCATCTCATGGGGCCCCCTACTGACCCCCGGGCCCTTGGGCAGTGCCCTTTTTTTGCAAATGGTCAGTCCGCCCCTGCACCCAGGTCCCTGAACTCTGCACTGTAGTGATGAAATAAAGCCCTCGACCATGATCCATTCCAGCATACAAGTAGCCAATGATGAAGGACAATGAAAGAGAAGCAAACTAATGTGGTGTGGAAGTGGAAAAAAAAACAACGTGAAATGTAAACATATTGTCAAAAAAGAAAAAAAGAAAAAAAAAAAAAAAAACTAGGCACAGCAAGAATATTTGTATTTTCTATAATTACACTACCCCGAGGAAACTTCCTCCTCCAGCTTCCCTCCACTGCAATTTGAAGATTATCCAGATTTAGGGTGGGGTAGCCTGGCAAACAGCAAAAAGCATTTCTATACTGGTCAGTTCTATCTGCAACATAGATTTCACTACTTTCCTTTGTCTTTTTTTAAAAGATGGCAAGGAAACGAGTAGAGAACGTTCACAGAGCTCCTGTATATAGAGGCAAAGCCGGAATCAATACTTCGCATGAAGAAAGCCAACATACCCGACCTCGACCTATTATAATTATTCCCCATACTCAGCACACATGCCACATAGGAAGCATATTAAGGGTACTGAATATTCAGAATATATTTACTGGTACAGTAGTGAAGCATGACAAGCACAACTTATCATAGATCTATACATTAAGTGGATGACATTTGGTTTGCTAAAGCACTGTACATTATGGACATTTTTTTAAAAAGCCTTATGCAGGCCATACACGAGTCGAAATCTGATTGAATCTTCTTTAGAAAATTGAAAATTTTGTGCGTTTTGTTATGCGATGGCGCCACCATCGATTTCGAAATTCAACCAACCAAGCCTTCAATTTCTCCTCCTGTTGCTACAGAAAAGAATTTTGGTGGCCAAGAATTTTCTTTTCTTTACAGCGTTATATTTCTTGCACGATTCTCCCATCATTGATTCGAAATTCGTTCGTTTTCCAAAAAATTTTCCAACATGCCCGATCACTCAAATTCTATGGTCGCATGAAAACAGGCCGTTTCTGTGACCCACTAATAGTGCAAAATTAGAATGAAAACTCTTAGGCTACGTTCACACTAGCGTTGTGTGCAGGGGGCAGAGAGGCGTTTGGGAAGCATTTTTTACCGCTTCCCAAATGCCTCTGCCAATTCTGCACATTACAGCACATGGTGCTGTTCTAACGGGAGCGTTTGCTTCGCGGCAAAACGGACGCCTCTGGTCGAGTCAGGAGGCGTTGAAGCCTCCTATTCTCGTCTATGGTGCCGCTCTGCAAACGCCCGACTGGCGTTTGCGGTTACGACGCGTTTTCGAAGCGGTAACACCACTCTAACTGCATTATAGGCGTTTCTGGGGCGTTATTAACGCTTGGCAAACGCCTAGCAACCGCCGCTAAACCACGCATGCGGCGTTTGCCAAGCGTTAACCTCTTGCCGTCCGCCTGCTGTTTACAAACAGCAGGGCGGTGGCAGTCCAGGGGTGGGTTGCCATTCATAAACGGCACCCGCCTTCTCTAGCTGTGTGCGCTCCCTGGGAGCGCGCAGCACCGCGATCCGGTGCCCGTTTGTGTCCTCCGGACACAGTGAAAACACCGATCGTCGGACGGGACCTCTATACGAGGTCCCGATCATGTGATCACTAATTGGCCAATCAGTGATCACATGCAAAGTAGTAAGCAAGATGTCACTTGTGACATCATTGCTTACTACGTGTGAAATCTGTGAATGATCACAGAGGTCACATGGTACAAGGCTATTCACAACAGCCTTGTACCATGTGACAAGCTGTGACCAATCACAGCTCACTCAGTATTTGTCAATGACTGCAAGAATGCAGACAGAGAGAAAGAGAAATGATTGCTTTTACATCCTATATGGGTGTAAAAGCAATCAGTGTAAAAAAAAAAAAACAAATCTTCATCACCCCCCACAAGTAGTACAGTGTCACCATGGTGACACTGTACTGCTAGGGTGACAGTATGTAAAAAAAAAAAATAAAAAATAAAAAATAATAATATAAAAAAAATAAAATAAAAATGTAAAAAAAAATGTTTAAAAATTATAATTTTTGGTTATAAACTAATTTGGTTTTTTTTTGTTTACTAAAAAAATAATGGAATAAATTTTGGCCAAGATTTATGATGAAATATTATTTATTTGCAAAATTTTATTTAAAAAAAAACACTTTTTCAAAATTTTTGGACTTTTTCATTTACATAGTAAAAAAAATAAAAATCCCAGCGGTGAATAAATACCACCAAAATAAAGCTTTATCTGTCTCAAAAAAATGGTAAAAAATTCACATGGGTACAGTATTGCATGACCGCGCAATTGTCATTCAAAGTGTGATAGCGCTGAAAGCTGAAAATTGCCCTGGTCAGGAAGGGGGGTGAAAGTGTCCGGACTGGAAGGGGTAAAAGTGTCCGGACTGGAAGGGGTAAAAGTGTCCGGACTGGAAGGGGTAAAAGTGTCCGGACTGGAAGGGGTAAAAGTGTCCGGACTGGAAGGGGTAAAAGTGTCCGGACTGGAAGGGGTAAAAGTGTCCGGACTGGAAGGGGTAAAAGTGTCCGGACTGGAAGGGGTAAAAGTGTCCGGACTGGAAGGGGTAAAAGTGTCCGGACTGGAAGGGGTAAAAGTGTCCGGACTGGAAGGGGTAAAAGTGTCCGGACTGGAAGGGGTAAAAGTGTCCGGACTGGAAGGGGTAAAAGTGTCCGGACTGGAAGGGGTAAAAGTGTCCGGACTGGAAGGGGTAAAAGTGTCCGGACTGGAAGGGGTAAAAGTGTCCGGACTGGAAGGGGTAAAAGTGTCCGGACTGGAAGGGGTAAAAGTGTCCGGACTGGAAGGGGTAAAAGTGTCCGGACTGGAAGGGGTAAAAGTGTCCGGACTGGAAGGGGTAAAAGTGTCCGGACTGGAAGGGGTAAAAGTGTCCGGACTGGAAGGGGTAAAAGTGTCCGGACTGGAAGGGGTAAAAGTGTCCGGACTGGAAGGGGTAAAAGTGTCCGGACTGGAAGGGGTAAAAGTGTCCGGACTGGAAGGGGTAAAAGTGTCCGGACTGGAAGGGGTAAAAGTGTCCGGACTGGAAGGGGTAAAAGTGTCCGGACTGGAAGGGGTAAAAGTGTCCGGACTGGAAGGGGTAAAAGTGTCCGGACTGGAAGGGGTAAAAGTGTCCGGACTGGAAGGGGGTGAAAGTGTCCGGACTGGAAGGGGTGAAAGTGTCCGGACTGGAAGGGGTGAAAGTGTCCGGACTGGAAGGGGGTGAAAGTGTCCGGACTGGAAGGGGTGAAAGTGTCCGGACTGGAAGGGGTGAAAGTGTCCGGACTGGAAGGGGTGAAAGTGTCCGGACTGGAAGGGGGTGAAAGTGTCCGGACTGGAAGGGGGTGAAAGTGTCCGGACTGGAAGGGGTGTGAAAGTGTCCGGACTGGAAGGGGTGAAAGTGTCCGGACTGGAAGGGGTGAAAGTGTCCGGACTGGAAGGGGTGAAAGTGTCCGGACTGGAAGGGGTGAAAGTGTCCGGACTGGAAGGGGGTGAAAGTGTCCGGACTGGAAGGGGTGAAAGTGTCCGGACTGGAAGGGGTGAAAGTGTCCGGACTGGAAGGGGTGAAAGTGTCCGGACTGGAAGGGGGTGAAAGTGTCCGGACTGGAAGGGGGTGAAAGTGTCCGGACTGGAAGGGGTGAAAGTGTCCGGACTGGAAGGGGTGAAAGTGTCCGGACTGGAAGGGGTGAAAGTGTCCGGACTGGAAGGGGTGAAAGTGTCCGGACTGGAAGGGGTGAAAGTGTCCGGACTGGAAGGGGTGAAAGTGTCCGGACTGGAAGGGGGGAAAGTGTCCGGACTGGAAGGGGGGAAAGTGTCCGGACTGGAAGGGGGGAAAGTGTCCGGACTGGAAGGGGGGAAAGTGTCCGGACTGGAAGGGGTGAAAGTGTCCGGACTGGAAGGGGTAAAAGTGTCCGGACTGGAAGGGGGGAAAGTGTCCGGACTGGAAGGGGGGAAAGTGTCCGGACTGGAAGGGGGGAAAGTGTCCGGACTGGAAGGGGGGAAAGTGTCCGGACTGGAAGGGGGGGAAAGTGTCCGGACTGGAAGGGGGGAAAGTGTCCGGACTGGAAGGGGGGAAAGTGTCTGGACTGGAAGTGGTTAAAAAATGCTACGCAAACGCCGGACCAACGCTTGCCAAACGCTATAGGGGCGCTTGGCAACCGTTGGTAAAACAGCCAAGTGTGAACGAGCCCTTAGAAAAGATTTTCAAAAGAAAATTTTTTCGGAATTCAACCTGTGTATGTAAAAAAAAAAAAAAAAAAAAAAAAGGAGAAGAAACAAGACAAGGACAACAAGGACAAGGGATGATACTTGACTTTCATGAGAAGAGCCCTTTGTGCTGGTGCTGGCTGTCCTATGGAAATCCAAAGTCATAATTTTCCAGTGCTGTGGGGGTTAATACGAACGCTGGACCTGTCACAGGCACGCGTGAAGAGTGCAGACTATGCCCAACCTTTCCACCCCCCTACTCCATTCACAAAAGCAGGCAGGATTGGTTGTATAGCATATAGACCTCATGATTCAGCAGGAAATAATGGCCAGAGTCATGAGATCAGTACGCTACTGACAAGCATGGCAGACGGCAGAAAACAGAGTCCCGGCCATTTTACACAACAGCGTGTGCATCTGCTTTATGTCACGATTGTCAGACCCCACGGTACAAAAGGTACACTGACCCGATCCCATTACACGGCCGTTCCGCTGCAATTAGAACCGCTAAATTAGCATTGTATATAGAGGCCTACTTTTCAGGCATCCATACAAAGAGGCTCCATGGAGCTGACAGAAGACGGATGGGCATGGTTTGGAAGACAAATCATTTGAGCTCTGTTAAGCAGGAAGGCTGTTTGCAGTCTGCTGACACATCACGCTGGCTGAAACACAATGCACTTGGACATCCAAAGTAAAAATAAATGCATGTATTCCATAGGGAGCAAGAGACAGCAGTAAAATGCGAAGGTCATCCTAGCGTCTCTGCGATTGCCTGGAGGCTTGAGGATGGTCATAACAAGAAGCAAGATTATAGGAATATCAATATTCCAAATCTGTAGCTCATGCTGGCAGGTCATTGCAAATTCCACCGGCAGCAAAAGTACACTAAAGCAGATGTAAGCCCAATAACGAATATTGTATATAATATTGTATTATCGGAATTATGTATTATTGGGGTTTTAAAGGTTCCTTTTAAATCTGCAGCTTTCATTATAATATCTGATGATCATGCCCTTAAAGCACAACTCCAGGCAGGCAGAGCTTCCTACCTGCCTCTCCCCTTCCCCCAATCCCAGGTCTCCTCCTCTGCTTTATATTTTCATTTTTGCTTTATACCCTATATCTAACTTTTTTCTTGCAGTATTCTTGCTGGCTGGATGCCTCTTCTTCCTTTGGCAACAGTAGAGAGTGGTTATTCCTCCAGGACTGAGAAGCACTCACGAAATCTGAGTGTGTTGCTCCATCCTGGAGTATTGTGAGCTCAGCCTGCGTGATGACGTGGCCCGGAGTTGGTGGGAAAACATGTTATGCGAAACCAGCGGGCTCAAAAAACAAAAACAAACAAAACCACACAGATTCCTCCATACACAAAAAACAAGGTAGATGGAGGAATCCCTCCACCTCAACGGGGCATTGTGTTGTCACAGCAGGTCACGGCGCTGTCAGAATACACTGATCAGCAGCTATATCACTGATAGATCAACTTCTGTCAATTGAGCAACTTGGAAAAAGTTTGATCGAACGATTGATTTACCGTATTTTTCACTCCATAAGACGCACTTTTTCCCCCAAAAAAAAAGGGGGGGAAAATGTCAGTGCGTCTTCTGGAGCGAATGTAAAGCAGCCGGTCCGGTATTTCTGCCGCCACCATGTCAGAATATCGGGGCGGCCGCTCAGCTCTTCTCTCCTGCAGGACCTTACCTATTCCTCGCTCCAGCGCTGCAGTCTTCCCGCGGCGGCTTCTGTGACAGCCGGGTGCCCACTGCGCATGCGCGAGAATCGCCGTGCTTTGTGAATGGTCCAGTGTCTTCTGGGACACATGACAGGTCCCAGAAGGCTCCGGGCCATTCACAAAGCGCAGCGCTTCTCGCGCATGCGCAGTGGGCACCCGGATGTCACAGAAGCCGGCGCAGGAAGAAGGAAGGAAGGACAACTCCGCGGAAGTGGGAGAGGGGACCTGTCAAATTCAGGTACCCACTCCCCCTCCCTTCTCAAAGGTCAGCAGTCTCTGGTAATCTCCTGTACTGTCTGCAGTCTCTGGTCATCTGTACTATGTCCGCAGTCTCTGGTCATCTCCTGTACTGTGTCCGCAGTCTCTGGTCATTCCCTGTACTGTGTCCGCAGTCTCTGGTCATCTCCTGTACTGTGTCCGCAGTCTCTGGTCATCTCCTGTACTGTGTCCGCAGTCTCTGGTCATCTCCTGTACTGTGTCCGCAGTCTCTGGTCATCTCCTGTACTGTGTCCGCAGTCTCTGGTCATCTCCTGTACTGTGTCCGCAGTCTCTGGTCATTCCCTGTACTATGTCCGCAGTCTCTGGTCATCTCCTGTACTATGTCCGCAGTCTCTGGTCATCTCCTGTACTATGTCCGCAGTCTCTGGTCATCTCTGTACTATGTCCGCAGTCTCTGGTCATCTCCTGTACTATGTCCGCAGTCTCTGGTCATCCCCTGTACTGTGTCCGCAGTCTCTGGTCATCTCTTGTACTATGTCCGCAGTCTCTGGTCATCTCCTGTACTATGTCCGCAGTCTCTGGTCATCCCCTGTACTATGTCCGCAGTCTCTGGTCATTCCCTGTACTATGTCCGCAGTCTCTGGTCATCTCCTGTACTGTGTCCGCAGTCTCTGGTCATCTCCTGTACTGTGTCCGCAGTCTCTGGTCATCTCCTGTACTGTGTCCGCAGTCTCTGGTCATTCCCTGTACTGTGTCCGCAGTCTCTGGTCATCTCCTGTACTGTGTCCGCAGTCTGGTCATCTCCTGTACTGTGTCCGCAGTCTCTGGTCATCTCCTGTACTGTGTCCGCAGTCTCTGGTCATCTCCTGTACTGTGTCCGCAGTCTCTGGTCATCTCCTGTACTGTGTCCGCAGTCTCTGGTCATCCCCTGTACCGTGTCCGCAGTCTCTGGTCATCTCCTGTACGGTGTCCGCAGTCTCTGGTCATCTCCTGTACGGTGTCCGCAGTCTCTGGTCATCTCCTGTACTGTGTCCGCAGTCTCTGGTCATCTCCTGTACTGTGTCCGCAGTCTCTGGTCATCTCCTGTACTGTGTCCGCAGTCTCTGGTCATCTCCTGTACTGTGTCCGCAGTCTCTGGTCATCTCCTGTACTGTGTCCGCAGTCTCTGGTCATCTCCTGTACTGTGTCCGCAGTCTCTGGTCATCCCCTGTACTGTGTCTGCAGTCCATTGGTTCAGAATATTTTTTTTCTTGTTTTTCTCCTCTAAAACCTAGGTGCGTCTTATGGTCAGGTGCGTCTTATGGAGCGAAAAATACGGTATGTTGTGTGGGGAAGGAAACACACACACAGATCGAAATTCAGTCAACGATGAACCAGCAGAGTTTTGACCTATCAATGGCCAGCTTAAAGTGATTGTACAGACACGTGTTTTTTTTTTTTTGTTGTGTTTTTTCTTCTGTTTAATAAACAGGTTGTTCTTACCAGCTCTGTGCAATGGGTTTGCAGCCCTTCTCTACTCGGGTCCCCCCTGTTCTGTGGCTGCCCCCAGAGCAAGCGCTTGCTATGGGGACAGACAAGTGGGCTTCTCCCGAGATGGACTGTGTTTGTCTATTTACATTCTTAGTGTGGCTCGACCTCGACCCCTCCTCACTGGATTGGACTGCCAGAAGCGAGAGCCAATGGCTTCTGTTGCTCTCACCAAGTCCAGTGAGGAGAGGACAGCACTGGATCGAGATTGAATTCAGGTGTTTAGCGGGGGGCTAGGGGGGAGCAAAGCATGGATGTTTTTTCAACTTAATGCACAAAATGCATTCGGTAAAGAAAAACCTTCAGCCATTACAACCACTTTAGGTGGAACATTGACTTTTTTTTTTAAAGGAGGACAAAAAAAGCAAACAAAAAAAAAAAAAAACCACAAGATGGAGTTGCACTTTAAAAGGAATTGTAAAGTCTACCATTTTATTTATTTTAATAACAAACAGGTGTATACTTACCTGCTCTGTGCAATGGAATTGCAACTATTCAACAATGGCAATTTCCCCCCATATCTTTCTTCACAGGTTCATGTTAAAACATTTTCACATTTTTGTGCACAGCAATGGTCTACCCTGATATCGACAGAACAAAATGGGGTAATGATTGGCCTTAAACCCTTTCATCTCAGGCCTTGGGGGTGCGTTCTTCTCCTCCAATGAGATATAGACTAATACAAATATTTCTTTTTTACTCACTTCAGCATTTTTATCAGCGCTATAAATACAGTTCATATCAATAATAATAAATCCACAACAAAAGCTGCAGCACTACTCACCCGGTGAGAAGGAAAGCCTTGAAAAATCTGTAAAATAAAAGCGGAAAAAAAGATATTTTAATATTCGACATTAAAATGAAAATATTCAATTTGCGACAAGTTAATCTCTTCTGGTCTCTGAGACCATCGCCTCTTAACCAATTCCAGACCAGACACTTTCACCCCCTTCCTGACCAGGGCAATTTTCAGCTTTCAGCGCTATCACACTTTGAATGACAATTGCGCGGTCATGCAACACTGTACCCAAATGAATTTTTTACAATTTTTTTGAGACAGATAAAGCTTTATTTTGGTGGTATTTATTCACTGCTGGGATT